GGGGGGTGTGCAACCCAGCCAGCAGCACCCCTTCCCAAACCAGCACATCGCACCCCTGCGCTTTGCCAGGGAGCTGGTGGGGGAGCGAAAAGCCACCCTTACACCCTGCCTGGCTCGTTTTCCGTCTCCGCGAGCAGCCTGACTCTCATCCCGGTGGCACATGGGAAGCCGTCGTGATGGTACAGCACAGCACGGCATGGTACGCCTGTGGCTTTCCGGTGTGCACTGGGGTCACACAAGGAGCTGGCGTTTTGGAGACAGGCTCCAAGCCATGAGCGCAGACCTGCGTGCGCTCACCGAAATTCGCGCTGACGCCGTTGGGAAGCAGCTGGCTCTGGCAGCCCTGTATCCCTCTGCACCTCCCGCCAAACGGAAATGTCCTGGACGCGCTGTTCCCAGGGAAAGCACAGGCGCAGCATCCTCCGCCGCGTAGGTGTCTGCACCGCGGCGGTGGTGTCTGGGCCTCGCTAATGCGTGATGAAACCTGAGATTCCTCCGTAAGCTTACGAACGGCAATCAAACCCGTGCCAGCACCGCGCCCCAGGCATGGCACGGGCTCACGTTTGCCTCAGAACCTGCTCACGGGTCAGAGGGAGAGGCCACACACGGCGAGAGGCCGTGTGAAGCTCTCACTGGGGCAAGGCCGTGCACCGGCAAAGCACCCCCAGTCCTTAAAGCACATGGGTCCCAAAAGCACCCCAGCCCTGGTGCCTGCAGCCTCCAGACAGGGCACCTCTCCGGGGGGGCTCTGGCGTCCCGTTGCTCGCTCCCAGGGACAGGCCAGAGCGATGGAGCTGCCAGACACGAAGAAAATGTCTGGTGGGAGGGAGGAAGCGGCTGGGGCACAGGGGACAGCAGGAGATGCTGACTCCAGGACTGTGGGCTTTGCATGGCACGGCGCCGTGACCGCTTGTCCTCCGGCCTCCCCGGGGAGAAAAGCTTGTGGAGAAGAGGGCAGGGATGCGCGAGTCCCTGTGGCGAGGCTGAGCGTGACAGAGCAAGGAGGGGAAGCAGCCAGGGAGAATGAGGACAAGGACAGCCAACCTTCGAGCAGCTGGAGAGCTGCAGGAAGGCAGAGGCATTTCTGAAAGCCTCCCCCCACCAGCCTCTCTCAAGGAAAAAGCATCCCTCAGGCACCAGCTCCTTCACTTCCATTTCCACCTCTCGGTGACGTCAGCTGAGCTTCCCCGAGGCAGCTGCTCCATCTGTCAGCACAGACTGCCCTGGGGGCCGAAAGACCAGGGCTGCTGGAGCCCCCAGCTCGTGTCCCACGGGGCCTCCAGGAGATCTCAGCTGGCTCAGAGCACCGAACTCCCAAGCAGCCATGTCACCGTCAGGACTAGCAGCTGAGAGCAGCCCCGAGAGGTCCCATGGCAAGCAGCACCTCTGACTTTTTGAGCCTTTTCCCAACGGTCACTTTCACAGGCTGGAAAAAGAAGGAAAACAGATTGACTACAGTATTTCAAACCAAAAAGGAAGGATTTCACATATTACTGACATCCTTTGTTGATTTGTTTTCTTTATAAGGGGAAGAAAGCCCTTCTGGTGGTATTTAGCTTGGGTTAACGAGAAGTTTAAGCCTGTCCTTTGGAGGCCAGAGGAGACAGTGGCAGGCAGTCTGGGTTCACTGCGGTCATCTCTAAAGTCTGAACGTCCCCCCTTCAAGAAAAAAAGACAAACCCACAGACAGAGGGGGAGTAGTGGAGCAAGCAAGCGTGGCTCTGGCTTTTCTGCCTTGCTGAAGAAGGCTGGCCCAGACCCTGGCCTGAGCTGGAGGCCCCAGCGTCCCCAGGCCCGGCCCCATTCTGTGCAACTGGTCTCACGCAAAGCTGGGGCTGCCCGAGGAAGCACGCAGACGGTGCTCTCCGGGTGCCACAAGTGGAAACACCACCAGGTCTGGGAAAAACGGCAATCTAACAGCACGTCTCATCAATAGAGCATCTCTGTGCCTGGAGCTGTGGGGGTAAAAAGCCTGCCCACCCCCCCGCGAAGTCCCCCTGAGGAAAGCGTGCCCTTGTGCACCTCGCAGCTCCCTGTGCTGCTCTGGGCAGTGCCCGGTCAGAGGCACAGGCAGCAGGGAGATTGTGCTGTTATGGGCCAAGTCAGGGCATGGGGACGGTGGTGGGGGGCTTCGGATTCGGGCTGATGGCGATGCTAGGTCTAGGGAGACCAGGCTCCTCTCAGTGGTGCCCAGCGACAGGACAAGGGGCAACGGGCACAAACTGAAGCACAGGAAGTTCCGTCTGAACGTGAGGAAGAACTTCTTCCCTCTGAGGGTGACGGAGCCCTGGCACAGGCTGCCCAGAGGGGCTGTGGAGTCTCCT